CACATTAATGTTTACCATATGTCTTGATGCATCTTTTTCTGTTTCTTAGGTTGGTCATGGCCCTAGCGAGCCAAAAGACAGAGGAGATTCACACGCTAAAAAGGTAAAAATCTATTAATGCAAGGACTGATGAACTTTGGGAGGAAAAATAGAAAGACGATATCATTCTATTTTTCAGTTAAAAAGCGAGAGAGACTCTACCGCTGTCCGCAGTGATGCACAGATTATATATTCCTGCTCATCTGATACTGAAGCTACAGATGATGATCCTGTGGTGTGTGAGCTCAGAATAAATTAAGTGTTTTCTGCTTTGCTTTTTTCACAATATTAATATGATCATATGAAGACATTTATAGGTCATCCCTTCCTGTCATCTAGGCTGGACGTGCGTCTGCTGGACCATCAAATAATAGAGGACAAAGTGTAGGCCTTAAAACGGTAAAACATCTTCATTTTTAAAGTTTGAAAACAAAAGAACACACTAATTTTGTTTACTTGTTCAGAGAGATTATAACCCTTAATGGAGAGAATATGAGGTCTGGTTAAAATGTGCAAAGACTCTATTGGGGAAACTATGAAATAAAAACATATCTGATCTAAATTTGACTCCAGGCTTATTCAGGCTGATATCTTTGTCCAGTCCACTTTGTCTGCCTGGAAATTTCAGGTTAATACTGCTAGGAGTAGAACTAACATTTCCAGCCAAATTTAAATGTTCTACTTTTTATATATGCACTCATTGCATGGGGAAAAAAGAAGCCTTTCTAGAAAACTGCAGTACCTCAAATGGCAACTGAGTTATACATATAGATTGTATATGAAGGATGGACTTAACCATGGTCATATCATCTGTGGGTATGTGGATGTGACGGGGCGTGGCCTGCGGTGCCGCGCAGAGGAGGCAGGCGCACCTGTACGGCATCCGCAATCACGCCCCGCCGAATTAAATATTGTACTGGGTCCTGTGGTTGGGGTTGTTGTTGTGGTGATAATGTTGAGCGGGCAGCGGGAGAGCTGCAGCTCTGGGAGCATTGTGAACAGCAACCGTGGAAGTGCCAATAAAGTATGCTGCAGAGCATGAATTTGCACCCGGGTCTGCCGTGGTTGTTTACAGTGGAGAACCATGAAGCCTTATCATTGGTATTTTGGCCACAGCCATGTTGGCCTTTCAGCGCAAGACCACATTTGGACGGGAGAATTAAATGCTAAGTTATCAGCGACCAGTATTCATACATGTTATGGCTGTAGTACACCCAAATACCTGCTAGAGTAAAAAGAAGATGTCACTAATAAAACAGTTTTTTGTACCAGGATCTGAACATGTCTAGGGCTGTGCGATATGACCAAAATCTCATATCCCGATAAAAGACCTCTACCGTCCCGATAACGATATAAATCATGAAAATTTTAAATTTTCTGTAAATTCTGTGAATCTTGGGCAGCTCGACTTGCGTGAAGTGTTTCCAGCTGCGCGTCATGTAGCTGGAGTCGAGTGTTTTAACCGATGCATGAAACTATATATTTTTAGACATAAGTTGTAACGGCCGCCGTTTTCTTTGTGAGTATTTATTACACGGCGTGCTGCGGGGAAAAGCCTGTTCTAACGTTTGAGTCTAAGGTTTATTTTTTAGCACCTGGCTGCTCTTTTTTGTTCCTCATATGTAAACACTCTGCATAACCTTTCACGTGATTCAGTTTATTTTGAAAAGTCTCAACAGGATCTTGAGCTTTATTCTGAAAGGTTTATGTGGAAAATAAAGAAGCGGACACGTGATGGTTTTACTGTCGTTGTTGCTAACGACAACGCATAAAAACAGTCGCTTGTCCGTCCGTAGTGTGGTTATATTAAATATAAGAGAAAGAGAGAACTTTAAGAAATTAATATAGCCACTACAGTGACCATCAAAACAAAGAAAAAATATTGCCGTAAACAGTTTATTGTGCGACACCACAAAACAAACGATAGCGTAAAATGAAACATAGACGTTTTTATATCCTCATCCGATATATATCCTTATATCGAACAGCCCTAAACATGTCTACTTCTAAAGTTGGACAGTTTAACATGACACTCTGTGGGTTTGACTCATTTTTGAAGCCAGTTTCAAGTGACCACTTGAAGAACTGCAGTTTTTGGCACTTCTGTGCTTGGTTTTGATTTTTAGCCTTGCAAATTGACACTTGGATAATCTCCATGCTCTCCATTGTTAATTTCCCATTTACAACAAGTGTACTGGGGTAAAAGGTTTTTACAACTCACAGGTTTGGATTGTATTCAAGTTTTAAGCGATGTATTATTGGATGGATGCTTTGAATGACATGTGGGTATCGCTATAGCTGTGATAACCACTAACTCTACTGTGTTCACCTTTTGTTTAAGAAACATTCTAAATGAACATAATGTCTCATTCTAGGTTACTACATGGCAGTAGTTATTTTAGTGCTTGACTGAGGTTTTGGGTATTTATTTTGTCGTGTCTCTGGGCACATGAAGGTAAAAGTGTGCTTGAGTGACAGGATACTTGTGTTTTTTTTTCTTCTGGCTCACATCTATATTCTGTCTCTTTCTCTATAGCAGCGAAAGGCTACTGCTGTTTCATCTAATGACGAGACTACAGAACAAGACGTTAGTGTTTATGTATTTGTTAAAATTGTTTAAATGTTTGTATAAAATAAATATCTGATTTTTAAAAGTAATCCCATAAAACACGTCATTCTATATATTTCTCTTTAAATCCAGAGAGACTTTAACACCACCCACAAGGATGTAGAGATTAAACATCCCTACTCATCTGATACTGAAGCAACAGATGAAGAGAATATGGTGTGTTAGCTACCATACAGTATTAAAATTATCACATGGAGACGTTTGTAGCTCATCATTTCCTGTCTTCTAGGCTGGACCGTCAGATATCAGAGGAGGAAGTTCAGACCATAAAATGGTAAAGTTCCTTCAGTTTAAGCATTGTTTGGAAAGAGAAGAACCCCTCATTCTGTTTACCTTTTAAAATCTAGAGAGACACTGAATGGACATAGTCCGCATAGGAAAAACAGAAAAATACCATCTCAGTATTATTAACATGCGTGATCTAGATTTGACTGCAGTTACATTCAAGCTGACCTCTCTAGTCCTTTTAGGGAGGGATCAAAAAATAGCAGATAGTGTAGATTGCACCATCATTTAGGTGATGTTGCAGAACTTCATATATGATCACCAGCCACTTTGTGAACCACCCTAATTCATTATAGAATGTAATAACATCACACAGTTGCTGCAAATCTGTTGGCTGCACATCCACAATCCAAAACTCCTATCTCATCAGATTCCACCAAAGTGCTTTATTGAATTTAAATTCGGGGCAGTTAGCATCTTCATTCTGTTTTCTTGTTAAAATCCTCAATAGGTTATTATGAAAGAAAACACCATCTGTAGTGATGGCAACACAGATTCCTACTCATCTGATGAAGATGAAGAGCCTATGGTATGTGAAGCAACAATAAGTAACGATAAGTAGGTTTATTAACGATATCAAAGTGATGACATCAAGATGCTCCTCAGCCATCCTTTCCTGACTCTTAGGCCAGTCATCTGTCAGCTGGAATAGCTGAGAGCAGAGGAGGAGATCCGGACCATGAAATGGTAAATATGCACATGCAGAAATAATTACTGTGTATCCACCCATATGTACATACACCCATATGGGTGTAATGTGATGTATCCACCCATCATATTACACCCATAAGCTGTATGGCTGCAGTGCACAGACCTAGATACCTGCTAGTCTAAATAAAAGATCGATACAATACTAGAAATTCACTCAGTAGAACTGATGCACAGTTAAAAAGTTAAAAATACAAACCCTACAGATAATTAAATTAAAGGCGGAACCAGCACCACAAACACAATCAAGATGTCCAGCTTAGTGGCTCAGATTTATGGAGGTGAGGGTCTAACAGAAAGCCACTGGCAGCAACAGCTGTGGTAGCACACCTGTCAGTCAGTCACACCCTGAAGTCTTTATAAAATCCAAACAGGTGAGTGAAAATAAAAATGCCGCCTGTCATAAAGTAGTTATGAAGCAGTACATTAGCCATAGAGAGGGAAACAGTTTTTTGTACCAGACTGTAAATATGATAATTTCTGGACATTTTGCCAGAAATCTGTGGGGATTGACTCTATTTTGTTTTTTTGGGGGGGGGGTGTTAAACCCAGTCTCAAGTGGCCACTGGAGGAAGGACAGTTTTTTTCCCACTTCTTCATTTGCTTTGCTTTTTGTTCCTGGAGCGTTCTCCTTTTGACACAAAGGACCAGAGGTTCTATTCCAAGCTCCTCATCCTATCTCTGAGGCTTATGTCAGCTACCCTATGAAGGAAAATCATTTTGGCCACTTGTATTCGCAACCTTTCCTTCCCTTTTCACCAGTCCAGCAGTCAAATCCATTTTCTACCTTCTGATCAGTTGTGAATAAGATCCCAAGTTTCTTGAATACCCTCACCTTTAGCACTCTTTCCCCCAACCAAAAGGCAGAATTCTAACATTTTCCAGCAGAGAGTCGTGGCCTTAGATTTAGAGTCCTAAATTTCATCTTGGACATTTCAGACTCAGCTACAGGCTGCTGCAATGCATGTTGAAGGTCATGCTCCATGAAGCTAACAGAACCACCTCAACTGCAAGAAATGTGGATTATATTCTTAAGTTCTCAAAGGGGATACCTTCCTCATTCCAGGAAAGTATGAGAACCTTTCCACACTTGTCCCAAATATGATTGGATACAGGAGCAAACCTGATGGAGTCCAACACAGACTGAAAATGTACCTGAATTTGTGCCAAAGACTCCGACACAGCTTGGATTTAGAGGTTAGGAGTTGGTGCTCTTTACACTGCCCCAGTCCTGGTTATCAGTTACTCTCTGAACATACAAGGCCTGAACCAAGGCCTGCTTTCCTTTTCAGAGAGGACTTCATTGAGCCCAGCCAAAAGGCCATCTCCATGGCTACCCTGAGCTCCTCACACACTCAAGTTTTTGCTTCTGCTATAGAAGCCTCAGCTCTTGTGATCCTTTGATACCCATCTGCTGCTTCAAGAGACCCCCGGGTAAAACCAACCCCAGAAAGCCTCCTCCTTCAGCCTCATGGCCTCACTGGCCTCCATCGTCTGCCATTGGGTCTGTGGTGACTAACATGGCAGGAACCGATGTCCTTATGACCACAGCTCCAGCTCCCTCTATCATGCAGGTTCATGAACATGGCCCACTGAAGCATCTATCTAGAGGAATTTGATGCAAGACCAATCCCTCTAGACCAGTGGTTCTTAACCTGGGTTCGATCGAACCCTAGGTGCATATCTACATCTTGAATTTGAAAAAAATCATATTTTATTTTTCACTAAAGAGGGGTTCAATGAATTTCCATATGAAACTGGTGGGGTTCGGTACCTCCAACAAGGTTAAGAACCACTGCTCTAGACATAAACATTAAAGATCCTATGGACAGGGGCATGCACCAGATATTCACAGTTCTTCTTCAATAAGTGTTTACATTTACTAGGTCTGTCAAACACCCTTCCACACTATCTGATCCAACCAGGTGGTGATATGGTGGCATCTCTGGTCCCTTAACCCAGATGTCCAAGGCATAGGACTTCTGATCAGATGATATTTCAGCACAGTCATTTATTGAAGATTGCCCTCAGGTGTTTGGTACCAAGAGCACTAATGGCCAACACAGAAGTACAATAACAAAACACCACTCTTGGATTGTATTTAGGTTTAAAGTTATGAATTACTAGGTGCATGGGTGCGTCAAAGTTACTGACACAGGCAGCTGTAACCACTAAGTGTCTACTAGGCTTCACCTCTTGAACCTCAGTCATTTAGGATACATCCTAAATGAACGTTGGTGACCTCTGAGTTATAGTATTGTATAGAAGTGTTTGTAGTAGTACTGTTCATCTTACCGTGAAGTTTTAGGAGAGGTTTTTGTTCAACTTTTATTTAAATACCTTTCCTTAGTTCAGTCACTTATTTTGGAGACTGTATGTGTAGGTGAAGAGGAGCTTAAATGTGAGCATGACAGCAGGGTTTTTCGTATAATATACCTGCTCATATCTCTTTCTCTTTTATGTTATAGCACCAAGGAGCGACCAACTCTGCTTCATCTGATGATGAAACTACAGAAGAAGATCCAACAGTTAGTATTTTTCCTTTGTTATTTTTTTACATATGGAAATGATGACATTTTCATTCATTTCTACTACATTTAGCTTTTAAAGCATATTTCTGGCCTGTCATGTGTTACTAGGAGCAGTTTT